ACGTTAACTCAACAGTTCTGTAGCTAGTCAAAGACAAATGGGCGAGAAAAGACACATATATCACACAAATACCTTCATCTACACAATACATCGCGACGCCCGCCCAGCAAATCAAACATAAACAAACACAGAGAAAATAACATAAAAAACTAATAGAAAAACACAAAATATTCCCGCCTAAAACATACAACCGCAAAACCAACACACTTATACCGTCAACCATCAACATCACATTCCACAAACCACTACATATTCTAACTCGCGAACCTAACAACAGAGAGAAACAACAAAAACAATAAAATTCAAACACATGTCCAAAAAATAAACGGTACGTGTTTATTATGATGTTCACTGTAAATATAACATATATATATTCACGACTGGTCACACACGATAACCATTTGTACACACATACCGATATAATAATTTCCCGGGATAATACTAAGTCCCAAAGGGAAAAGTGGACATCACACACGATACCCAAAACACACACGTACAGTAACCACAACGGTTTCCCGGATTTTAGGAGTTCTCCAAAGAGGTGGACCACGGGGGAGAGTCCCTGTGTTGCTGTACGGACTGACGTCACCCCCAAAGTTAGGACACGTTGTTGGGACTAGTTACGGTGGCTGTGCGGCACACACACACACACACCACACACACACACACACACACACACAAAACCACACACCCCACTCACACCCCCCTCAAACCCACAACCACTAAAAAGCACAACCCCCAAAACAACCCAAAAACCAAACAACACAAAATACGAAACCACCCCCGAAAAACCCCCCACCCCCCACCCCCCAGCGCGCACCAAAATCATTAATACTTAACACAATTACGCGTTACAACAAATGTCCATCCACGTTTGAATATGATGATGGAACATGCATCTCTATATAAGATATCTCTACTTCATTATACCAGAACATTTCGTCCAACCCACGGTATCCTGAAGCAAAACAACAACCACCCTCCCCCACACCCAACCACAAGGTCCAAGTAATGACTACGCACTTATCGAGTTAGCCAAAAGACGAGAGGACGGAATTCCAAGTTATCTTAACTCTGACTTATGAACCATCACATTACACAAGACTCAAAAGCGC